TGACACCTCAAAATGGTACAGGACTTTTTGATTCAGTATAGGCTGTTCTACCCACGTATGACAAAAAAATGCGGTAGTCGCCAAACACCCTGTATACATGTAAAATTTTTTACGGGGATACAATATCATTATGATAAAAATTTCAAAATTTAGCAAGATGCAGCAGTTTTGTCAAAATAAAATTTTAAAATAATATATTTTGTTAAAAGTTTAAAAAATGCAGATTTTGAATATTTTATAATAATTATTCAAATAATGCTTGATTTTTTACTTAAAATTGCGCAAAGTCCCGGACAGCACACAATATTTATAAAATATTTACGAAATATTTATAAATACTTATAAGATTTATTTTAAATATTTTGTAAAGCGTTTTTGGCGAATATATATGGCGAATTCGATTGGAAGAATTAGTGCGCACACATATTAAAGCCGTTGTACACTGATTTCATTTGAGTATAAAAATAAAATGCAAATATTTCGAATTATAAAATACATATTTTACCTAATAGTACAACAATAAAATGTATTGAGTATTTCAGTATTTAATCGATTTCTATGTTTATGTTATTTTGTGTACGACGATTTTTAATGTGCACCAGTGCGTACTGAGTGCGCCCAATCGAATTCGCTATTAGATTGCACAGATCATAAACATTTATTATAAATATTATAAAATATTTATTGTAAAAAACGTGATAGTAAATGCTATGAAAATATTTAATAAGACATTATATAATCCAAGTAAAAAATATTGATTAGAAATATTTATTTATATTTATCATAAATATTACATAAAATATTTAGTCTATATTTTAATAATATTTCGAATCAATAATTACAATAAAAACTCTATTATACTCGTATAATTCGCTCGTATAAATTTCAACAATAAATAAGAAGACTCTACCAGATCAATTCACAACCGAGCTATAAAAGGTGTAAACAATAAACTTAATTATTCTTTCGTAATTCTTTTTTAACAAATTCACGGTATTGTGTGAATGTTGGATGAGATGACGCGATACCATTACCGTAAATTAATTTTTAAGTCTAATGGTTAATTAAATTAATGTTTTCGGGTTTTTTATGATTTATTTAAATACACGGCTGAGGAGGACTTAGTAAGTCGAAACGTTCCGTGAATTTGTTAAAAAAGAATTATAAAAAAATAATAAAGTTTATTGTTTACACCTTTTATAGCTCGGTTGTGAATTGACCTGGTAAAGTCTTCTTATTTATTTCGAATAAAGCTTTATATAACATGTATATGAAATATCTATATAAGTAACATTTCCAAAAATAAATATATTAATAAATATTTTATCATAAACATTCTGTGCCGTCTGAAATGTGTAATATTTTAGTTGTGATATTCTATTCATTAAATGTGTATATTCATGCGATTATTTTAGCCAACCATTATTTAACCAAGCATATTTATAAATTAACTGGATTCTTCTTTTTGTATTTGAAAATGAACTCAAAATTGATAACATACAATTGAATTTTTTTTAATTCTTTTTTAATTTTTCTGTGCTATCTGAAAAGATACAGTCGCGATCTCATAAATTCTCTCTCTATTATAAGGTATCCGTTCTTATTTTAAGTTCTAGCTTAAGTAACGTTTTACGATACTAGTACAACTGTTTGATTGATATACTCATTATGACTTGCTGATGTACTTTTCACTTATTTGACTACATTTTTGACTTGCTGCGAATCTGCGCCTTTGAACTCTTGGAGATGCATTTAAAAAAAATTCTCTTCATCAAGAACATTGTAATTTGCGTTGATTAGTTTTTATTTATTTATTGACTATTTGTTTAATATTTGCGGATTTTAATATTTATCTATATCTCTCACTTGGGTTTATATTTTTGTATTACTGAGGATGGTCTGATTTAAGACCGAAACGTCTATGTATTTTTACTCATTAAATATATATTTATTCGCTGCTAACATCTTGCGTTCGTAGTTTTATGCCTTTTATTTATCTTATTTTGTGTAAAATTTGAACTACGTTTTGACCTAATTCGTTTGATTGACTTATGACATCTTAAGATTGGAACAGTTTTAAATCTAAAAATCTCGACTACACCGAATATCGGCCTACAGTGAAGGAATTTTGTTCGCGTCATGCGACACAGTCGCGCTCTCGCGGCCGCAGTGCGCATTAGCGAACGGCGCGACATAGGCGCGCATGAGCGTGTATAAGTGGCGCACGTCGCACCGGTCGCGCAGTCTTGTCCGATCCTCCGAGTGGTTTGCGAGTGTCGTACGTTCCGTCCGTTCTCGCGGCGCTCATATATAATCTCCCCGTCTCTCTCTCTCTCTCGCGTCCACGACATCGGACCACGTCAGACTACAGTCCCATCCCACGACGTCCCACATCGCGTTTACTCTCCGGCTCCGTTCTTTCACGATACGGTCGCGCCGCGACGGCGCGGCTATGATCTATGACAGAGAACACGACACATCGGCTGGCGGCGTCTCGTCTGCCGCGGTAAACGCGTAATAAGCCCTCCGTGTGTCGTGTGACCGCTGCACGGCGTCGCGCACGAAGCTACGGGACGTCGATGAAGGTGGTGTCGACGACGGCGCGCTCGAAGCCAAGCGCGCCTCGAATCGTCGAGCCGAAGAACCGGGAGAACGCGGCGGAGGAGACGACAAGAAGGCAGACGAGATATATATATACGAATTTCGGTTGACAGCTGACAGTCGAGCGGCGTGAAGAGAGAGAAAGAGAGCCTCCTCGTCCTCGCCGTGGTGCCGCGTGTGCGTGTGTGCGTGCATGTGTGCGGGTACGGGCGGCGGACCACCCGGTGCTGAGGAGGACGCGACGGCGACGGCGACGGATCGCGGACGTGCGACACGATGACGGCGATCCTGGTCTCCGTGGCGGAGCTGTCCAACATATTCTCGGTGCTTGCCGTGCTGATATGCTTCTGCGGGGTCTTCCTCTTTATCATGAGGTACGTAAAGCTGCGTTGTACGAGCCACTAGTCAACCGTGTCATTCTCTTTCTTTCTTTCCATCTATCTGTCCGTCCGTCTCTTGCCGCTTTGTCGGCTATCCTGCGCGCATACGCGTCATTCGCGAACAGCGTATGTAGGTATGTGCAATGCGTACGTAGATTCAGCTAGAGATAACAGTGACGAAATCGCGAAGGTAGTCGCGTCGGGCCGAGGAAGCCAGTCTTTAGAGTAATTATCCCTATTAAGGTAAACTTATCAATTTCTGAACAAGACCGATTTCTGAACAAAGGTATATGTTTTTATTAATAAGCTTTTCTTAATTCAGGTTTAAAAAAGTATGTATATATTAAATAAATTAAAGTGTCTAGATGTTGATGGGAAAGACATTTTGTACGTGAAATATTATTTGCATTTAAAAAAAATATTTTTCTTTCCTGGAAACGTAGAATAATGTTCCTGAATAGATTCTTAATCATTTTGGTTAGAAACGTCATATTAAATCATAAGCAAATTTACATATAATTTACTGTATAATTTAGGTATAATCTACATTTTGAACATTAGAAATATCTAATGAATAAAATTTATTTAAAAAAATTGCAAAAAAATTTTATTTTTTATTAAATATTAAGACATTCATAAATAGGTACGTACAATTAGTAGGAGTCTGATAACTGAACACGCGTTCCGTTATTGGTACATGTCACTTCGATTCGTTGTGCCTATTGCTGAACGTACACATGACGTGACATGATAGAGTGTTACTGAACTGGACAATCGTAAGTATTATCATTAACTTACATTTATTAAATTGTTATTTAACATAGTTATCATAAATTTACTTATTAAGACGAATATATCTTTTATGGGCAACTTATTAGGTGTTAAACTTAATTCCTGCCGTTTTTCGTCTCCAAAATTGATTCGTTTCGAAGGGAAGATGAATGAATATCTTAATCAAAGTAATTTCCTCCATTTTCTACTTTATTACTAATTAATAATACTTTATTAATAATACTTTGATTAAGGTATTTCCCTTCGAAACAAATCAATTTTGGAGACGAAAAACGGCAGGAATTAAGTTTAACACCTAATATTATTTGTTTATATTCATAGAAAACTGCGTTTCTAACCTCTACCTGTACGTAGTATTTTCTTTGTAAATAGTTTCGGTAAGCATGTAAAAATTATTGTGCTTTTTGTAGAATTAATTTTAAAATGCCAAAAGAGAAAAAATTGAAAATATACACACAGAAAGATGTGGACCAGACAATTCAATTAATAAAAAGTGGCACATCATTGACATCTGTGTCACATCAATTTGGTATTCCAAAAAGCACTTTACATTCGAAGATTCATAATAAATATCCTGTGAATGCTAGATATGGACCACCTTCTATCTTATCCGAAGAAGAAGAAAATTATGTCATATAATGGATTTTCTTTTGCTGCGAACGAGGATTTCCAGTTAAAAAAGAGCAACTTTGGACTGTGTACAGAAGTATGTGCTTAAATTAAATAAGAAAAATCCTAAATTAATACTTTCTTGCATTTCTAAAATAATTTTATATATTTTTTAACATTTTCATTAAGTTTACATTGATTTTAAAAGAATGTATACATTACGTTCGAGAAATAGGTACAACCATGTTCAGCTTTAGAAACATGGCTTTTAGGTTGTTCGGTAATTAGATCAGAAGTATATTCAGATACTTTCCTCAATTACTTGATTTTAGTTTTTACGACGTTATTTTGAAAATAGAAGTGTTGTAATTTAAAATAATTACAAAATCTTTTACCAATATGCTTATTTTAGTATTTTAAATTGGTTATATATTGAATGTCTTTTCTAAACTGTTCAGAAATTCGTACATTTACCTTACTGTGTCTGTCCCTATTAATGTTGCTTTTGTATTTAAAGCCTATTCTACAATGTGCATTTTGTTTCCTGTTTCTTGTTTTTTGCTATTTTTTACATCTTGTTGTTAGTCTCTTATCTGATTTTTCATTTTTTATCAGCCGAGATAAAAGTTGGACTTCGGAAGAAACAAGAAATATGATTGTCATATTAAAACGGTCGCAAAAGAGGGAAGAGAGCAAGAGGTAAAGAGTAAGAAATATAAAACAAAGACCACATTGTAGAATAATAGACTTTAAAGTTAACGAACTTTGGAAGAAACAAGAAACAGTAGCAAGAAATACAATTGTTGTTAAAACGGTCGTAAAGGCAGGTAAAAAGCAAGAAATAGGAAACAAAGAGTATTTGACGAATAGGAAACAAGAGCAATTGTAGAATAGGCTTAAATAAGCCATAAAGAAAATCAGCATAAATAAATAAGAAAGTGTTTTTTTTTAAATATAAAACATATTTGCATATTTTTTAAGTTCAAAAATTACAACTTCGTGTATATCTTTAACTTAATAAAAATACTTACAATAAAAAGTATCTGTTTTATTAAGTTAAATTATTAATGTTTATGATACGAAAGATAATATTCTATTTTTTTTAATTATTAAAGTATAGTAAATATATATATATATATAATTTTCATGAGATAAGTAATTTACGTAAATCCAGTAATATCGTAAGATTTTAAATTTGTTCATACTTGATGTGCCCTCCAAGGGGCGATGACTCTATTAATGTGTCCTCAATTTGTGCCTATCTGCGGTTGACTCATTTTAACATATAGTTGCTAAAACAGATAGTAAACGTAAGCTAATCGTTTAAATTAATATTGTATAAATCATTATTTTAATTATACTTACACGGAGAGAATTTTCTTTTAAAATTTACCCTGAAAATATGGTAATTGTGGTACAATACAATATTTTAAAGATTTTTACCATGCACTTCAGTAAAATTGATCAAACTTATTTTATACTTTATTGTAGTTTTATTAATGAATGAGAGAGATTTATATCATAATTCTTCGAAACACAATGTTGTCCCACGATTGTCATATTTTCAGGGTAAATTCTAAGTAAAAATTCTCTCCGTGTACAATTTCAATGTACACTCGTAACACAAGCTCACAAGCTTTGTAGCTCTCAGCTCCAATACAAAGCAAAACTGTTTCTTGTATCTATCAAGAACATTAAAAAACATTAACATTTTTCACATTAAAAAGATATTGTAAGAAAAAAAATTGAAAAACCTAATATCGATTTCAAGCAGGTAAAATTAAAGCTACAATATGTAATAATTAATTCAGTAATGAGCAAGTTGGCTTAAAGGGACCTTATTTTCTGTGATGGCATGACGTGTAGCTTGACGTCAGTGCGAATTAATTTTTCTTATTTAAAACGAAATCAATAGGCAATGTGCCAGACACGAAATTAGTGCTTTTTAAAAAACAGTGCTAAATTACAATATCTTTTTAATTATTTGCTTCTGCCTTCTTGAAATAGATCTTTGGGGGGTCAATACGAATGATTAATGATCTGCAGGTTCCAGGTTTAATGTTGGCTCTCATAGGTATTTATATTGAAATAAAAGTATATTTGTGATTATAATTGCATGATAAAATAATATTTTAGGAGTTTTATTTTTATGGTTATTACTGTTATAATCTTAGTAATAATCACCATATGTATAGTTTTCTCAAACATAACAAAAATTGTATTATAATTATAAATTATAATAATTTTAAATGTATTTAATAAAATATCAAGACATAAATAAAATAAAGCAGTATTATATAAATTGTAGATTAAAAAGGAAAAAAATTTAAGGATTAAAGTGCCATTAAGAGGAATTGATAAAAAGAATAAGAGTACGAAAACAAATGTATTACATATAATAACTTGAAAGAACAGGTTGAAAGCACTTTAATTATTGTTACTCAACGAGACACTATAAAATAAATTTAGTTTGTTCATCGCATTAAAAACTGTATTAAAAACGAGCGCATTGGAGTGAGTAGGAGCTATGGTAGGAGCGTATTGAAGCATGTTGGAGCATGCGAAACGAACAAACCTTTCCAAGTGATGTCATACGGGAGCTTGTTGGACGAGATACCTCGAGGCTTATGGTTGTATCAATCGAGACGTCACGTTGGTCTCGGAGACGAGCGAGACGGGGGACACGTTCAGAGGTTAACGCTCTCATGTTTATCGTCTTGATTAAGACCTTATAAGAGTGTAACTACGAACGATTTTGTCAAAATCCTACAAGAGGAAAAGCATTGTGTACAGGGTGATAATTAAGTATTTATGATGTCCAGCGATCCTTGAATATCCTTGAATCCTGGAATTATACTGGAATTTTATGTATTCTGGAAAATTCCTGGAAAACCCCTGAAATTTCAGGGTTTGCCTGGAATTTATCATTCTTTCATTCTAAAAAAATCAGAGCATGTGAAAAAAGAAAAAAATTATAAGAAAAAAGAAAAGTTGTATTTAGGCATAAATCCTCCCTTAAAGATAAACAATAAGTTACCAATAGAAAATGAGAAACTTGAATTTAAGTCTAAAATAGAACATAGTAGAAAAATTATTTGTGTCGATACTATGAATGTTTGGTTGATATTATTTATAAAGCAATAAATAAAATTGTTCCAAATTTGTTAGCGTTTTAATGCATTCATATAAAATCCTAATTTAAATACAAAGCATATAATATTATGTAAATCGATAAGATAAATTCTGGAAAAACCAGGATTTTTTTACCTAAAATGTCTTGGAATTATCCTTGAATTGAGGTCAGATTTTGCTGGACACCATGGTACTCTAAAAGAATTAAGGATTCTTTACACAAATTTAAGACGAAAACTATATAATCATATGTCAATTTATAATTAATAGTTAATAGTTATTGCTTGTCAACTTTCCGTTTCACGATACTGAAATTTAGCGTCTTCTCTCACTAATATCGTCGTATTACTACGTTTATTTACATTGAACTAAGAGTATAAGGTCACTAGGAACAGCGATCTTCATCTCGCTACAATATTGTTTACATTGTTTCTATGACAATAAACGTATTCTTGGAAGGC